TGTTGGCCCGTCCTACGTACGGGAATTTAGTAGTCAACTAAAACTGAAGTAATATCAATATTTCTAGAATGTAGAATGTTAGCGTCGGCTGCTAGACTTTTTACAATTTTAAACTTATCTTCTAAAAAACTGAAACCCTAAACTAAAATTATGGCTTCAACATTCCCTAGTTTTCAAAATTATTTGTCTTTCAATTTTTGTTAGTAGTTTTTTTTAGTAGTTTTTTTAGAAGTACAAATTATATTAATGGAGGTACAAAATAGTACGAAATAAGTACTAAATAGTAGTATAGCTTATAACCATAGGTTCCGATATGGCCGGGCTGAGGGGCCATGGATCTGTACAGTTAACGGGCCCGTAGCTTGGTTTTCTTTGAGGTACAAATTATTTTAATGGGGGTACAAAATAGTACGAAATAGGTACTAAATAGTAGTATAGCTTATAACCATAGGTTACGATATGGCCGGGCTGAGGGGTCGTTGAACTGTACAGTTCACGGGCCCGTAGCTTGGTTTTCTTTGAAGTACAAATTATATTAATGGAGGTACAAAATAGTACGAAATAAGTACTAAATAGTAGTATATTTTATAACCATAGGTTACGATATGGCCGGGCTGAGAGGTCATTGACCTGTACAGTTAACGGGCCCGTAGCTTGGTTTTATTTGAGGTACAAATTATATTAATGGAGGTACAAAATAGTACGAAATAAGTACTAAATAGTAGTATATTTTATAACCATAGGTTACGATATGGCCGGGCTGAGGGGTCATTGACCTGTACAGTTAACGGGCCCGTAGCTTGGTTTTCTTTGAGGTACAAATTATATTAATGGAGGTACAAAATAGTACAAAATAGGTACTAAATAGTAGTATAGCTTATAACCATAGGTTCCGATATGGCCGGGCTGAGGGGCCATGGATCTGTACAGTTAACGGGCCCGTAGCTTGGTTTTCTTTGAGGTACAAATTATTTTAATGGGGGTACAAAATAGTACGAAATAGGTACTAAATAGTAGTATAGCTTATAACCATAGGTTCCGATATGGCCGGGCTGAGGGGTCATTGACCTGTACAGTTAACGGGCCCGTAGCTTGGTTTTCTTTGAGGTACAAATTATATTAATGGAGGTACAAAATAGTACGAAATAGGTACTAAATGATGGTATACATATTAGGATCAAATTCGAAAATGGCCGGGCCAGCATGTCACTGGCCCGGAATCCTAAATTAATTAGTTATCCGGTACCGAGTGGGGTACTAATTTTTTGTTTGTTGGTACTAAATAGTACGAAATAGGTACTAAATATTAGCATAATTCTTATGTACTAATTCCGTCATGGCCGGGCCAGTGACATGGACGTCCAGACAACTACCGAATGTGCGTGAGTGTTGAGTGTTAAAGCCGCAGCACCAGCGGTCTGCCGGGGCCTGACAAATGCTTTGTGTGTAGGCCTATTCTAATTTCTATCCTACTTACTTGTCTAATTCAAATTACCTTATTAATATTTCAAATGAGTACACAATTGGGACTGACCTTATTCCTTGTTTTTATTTTCTTTTACAAATACAAATTTGATTACTATTGATTATTGTTTTATTTGCGCCTGGCAAATGGTTTAAACCCGCAGCGCTGACTGTCAACTCGTGAAGTGAAGACTGGCCCGTGGACTGCTGTATTTATACCCGATTTGGTTGCTATGGAGACCATGGAATGTTCTAGAACTTTAAACCCAGATGTTTCCACCAAAAGTTATCTTCCTTTTCCGGCAGCCTGACGTCATCGCTGCCCACTTGATCGTTCTTGATCCATCAGCTGCTGTCGGCTGGAGCTCGAGCTGTCAGAGAAGCTATTGTAAACTAGTAAACAAACATTGAAACAAATGTAATAAATAAATATGTTTTAATTATTTAGTTAGTTGTTAAATTTACATGTTTATCCCTTTGAGTGTGAAATAAAATAGTAATGTACATTCATAACTGTTATTGTGTTGCTGAAATATTTACAATGGATAACCTAACCTAAATACGGTAAGTGGGTAAGCTAACCTAGGTACGGTAAGTGGGTAGAAATATTCTTTATTACCACTATTTACAAAATAAACTATTAGAAACATTATTTCATTAGTAATTTAAAGAACATTAAGAAATATTTAAACTATGAAAAATGTGAGATAGGCCTACTTTTATTACAATTGATCTAACAAAAACCTAACCTAGCCTAGGCATAACATAGCCTAAAACGGTTACCGGTAAGTTAAATTGAAACATTACAAGTTGCTCTGCCTGTGCTTTGCTACGGGGTGAGAATACAGGAGAGAATAATTTGGTTTTTAAAAAACTACGGAAAATATTATTGAATTCTGATATTTATTTACTGTGGGTGTCATGCTAAATTTATTTGTTTTGTATCCAGCCCAATACTTGTTTTATATTAAATCATGTGTTGTTTGTTGTTATGTACACATGACATGACAACATGTACACATGATACAAAATATCTTGACACTTGACAAATTCCACTACTGACGTAAGATTTATTAAACAGCTGGGTTGGTAAATTTTCTTCATAAGAAATACACTTTGGGATTTTGATGGCCTGTGGGGCAAAGCCCTAGGACTTTTATTACAGGAATTGGTGAAAGGGGGCATCTACTCCAAAATTACCTAGTTAATTTTGACTGTTTGTAAAAATCCCTCCATTATTAACAGCAGATTTAAGTGTTTCATAGAATATTTCATACAATCACATGCTAAATCGGGGGCTAAATCTTTAGTGTGACTGTGAAATACAGAATCAATCAGTACAGTTTAATTTTGTCTTGTACCACGCAAACTTACCCCTTGCTTTCCTAGGTATTCTCCATACAGGCTATTGAGACACATGTTTATAGTTAAATTTTGTGTCAAGGTCCACCAACCTCTCAAAAATGACAAGGGATACAGAAACAATTTCTCAAAATAAATATGGGAACCAGGAAGGTTTCCTTAGTATAGAATGAATAAACGTTGAGTACAAAAGTCATGGAATTTTACGACATAAATAAATTAAAATCCCAATGGTGCTATGAGCATGCAGCTATATAAAGCTGGTTATGACACATATATCTTGGATTTGGCAGGCGATGCGAAGCCTCATGTATAAAGTTGGATGGATTCCATAAAACATACTTTATTGATTCATAAAACATACATTTTATGTAGCTACAATAGTCTATTAAATAACTCACAATTCTCTAAATTCCTTTCCATAATCCTCAATATATTTTTTTTGGCCGAGTATAATCAATAAAAGATTATTTACGAGATTGTTTCAATGCAAGCTACTACTAAGAACACTAAAGTATGAGGTGCAATATGTATACATGAATTAAAATAGCATCAGTAATAGTAAACAATCTCAATACTTTTACAGTATTTATTTTTTTCCATAAGCCAGAACATTTTGCGAACCAAGAGATTCCCTCAAAAGTTTTATACTGAATTGAAGCATATCTAATCACTCTTATATCATGTAGGAAACTGTGATATTATAGACAATTGTACTACACTAAGTTTAATACTTTCAGTTTTAAACTAAAAGCTCAATTAAAATAAACTTACTGGAAATGATTCTTTCCCCAATGTAGGTTATTTTACGTGGTTTGACGTTTTACGTTTGAGACGTCAGCTAGAGCCAGTCTTTTTGGTCAAATTTGTCTTTTTAAGACTAAAATCCAACAAGACATGAGAAGTTTAATCGAGGTATTTTGAGTGACAATAAATGTTAGTTCCTAAGTAAATACATTTTGTATGTATTTTAGGAAATCGCTCATTTTGGATGGTTAAGATAAAAAATTGATTCTTTTGTTATAATTTGTAACTGGTTAATACGTTAAATTTGACAGTTCAATTACAATTTTCAATTATTGTTGTTTTGAAAATGTTTTTCAATACAAAATTCTCCCTATACTACAACACACATATAAAATTGATAAGAGCTTCTGTATAATGCCTGGCATAGCTGAGCTGGAAATATTACTCTATAATAAAACATTTCTCTTCCTTCTCGCCCGGGACAGAATGTTACGATGTACTCCGGTTGTATATTCCAAGCGTTTTGCGTTTGTGAATTATTAAAACCAAGACACGATCTACTTTCTCTGTATTTCTTTTGTTTTTTTAACAAGAAAGTCTGCATTTCCTGAAGAATTTTACATGATCTTGTTTATTTGCAATAACACTCACTAGTTTGAAAATCTTTGAATATTATGTTGCAAAATTCTTGTAAAATTTTCACTTGTTTAGGTGATATTAGGGGAAAGTTTTTAGTTAGTATAAAGAGTGGTTGGGAATAAGTGAATATGCAAAACAAAAACCTGTATCAGCGAACTAACGCATTCTTTCTCCCATTAGTCTGATGTTAAAATTGAACATCTTTCTAATTAGTTGTAATAGGAAAAACTTTATAATCGGCAACCAGAGGGAGTAACATGGGTTTTTATGGGGAAAATCACAAAATTGCAATAACTTTTGCACCAAAATGGGGTGTGTACCATTCTGTTTAGAGTTCAAATTACCATAACATACTAAATTTTAATCAAAATCTTTCTAGCCTTTTTTATAAAAATTGAACTTTTTATTTTTTAAGGGTTCTTTTGGGAAAAATCACCATACAAAATTAAAATTTAAAATAATTATAATAGCCTGGATATATTATGCATTAGTACTCAACTCATAAGCCAAGTTTCATAAAACTCGGACAGGTTTAGTCAAAATTCCTGTACACATCCACACACAGACGTCCCTTTGAAAACCATCTTTTCGGTTTCAGGGGGAACCAAAATGGATATTTTCACTCAAAACTAAAAAATGTTAACAAAAATAATGTTTTCTCCACTCTATGTATAAAAGTAATCGTAATACGAGTAATTTATCTGTGTGATAAGGGAAAGGCATGGATTATAATTCATAACGAGATGTACGAAAATATATATTTATTATAAACTCAAATGCATTGATAACAAAATAAAAAAATTTACAATGTTAGCCTATAAAATACTTGTGCATAGATGCCCTTTCATGTTGTTGTGAATAAAATACTAAAGTTCCTTTGTTCATTTAAGTACATTTGTGTAACAACAATAACACAAAAACCTACTCCTTAAAAATAGTTTACATAACCTAAGAATTACACAGTTACATTTCTATAAATACATTTAACTAAAATTAACAGTATTCAGCTCAATAACCTAAGACCAATAGTTTAAAAATGCATTTGTACAAATAAACTTTACATGTTCAATGGGAAATTCATAAATTACCTTATCTAATTTCTCGTTTCAATTGAGCCACAATCACACAATTTCATCAATATTGCAAATTAAATTACCCATTCAATCAACTTCAGGTCAATCAACAACTTTCATTTCAACTGTGTCATTATTAAAATAAAATAAATTACTAAATTCATTCCATTACCACAACACTGCCACTAATTGCACATGAGTTACGGTAATACCAGAACCAATATCAATAGCCCTTATGTTCGGAACAATTTTTTAGATCATAGATTAGTAAAACTGTTACAGGATAGAAATACAAAGTACGGCCTTACTCACACTCATGGACGTAGGGCAGAGCTCCAGCCGCACTCTGAGCAAATGGAGTATAAATCACATACTCTGAACTTTTGTAATTCTCTCATCCTACAATCCCCCTACCACAACCATGTCGTATAACTAAAGAAATGGAAGACATCTTAGAATGACTTGATGAACAGGTGAATCATGTGATCATAAATGCACAGAGAATGTATATTCTGCTTCCTTCTTCTCTTCTCTGTTTGATTTCTGAAAAAATAACACTTTTGAAAACATAGTGTTAAGGTAGGGGTAAAAGGGAATGTTTTATTAACAATTTTTACACTCCGCATATAATGTTTACCAAAATCATGTACATCTTTTACTTTTTTATTAGCCCATATTCATCTTACAGTAGGCTCTAGCACAAAAGTGTTGTACACATGACTTCAAGCTAGTGCTAGAGAGTAGGGGCATTATCACTGAGAACATTATTGAATGGAATGGCTAGATTTGAGCTTGGGACCTTGGGGACCAAGTCCTGTGCTCTACCACTAGACCAGCTTGCCCCCTATAAAGTTTGATAATAGCAACATTGACTTTTCACCAAGATAATGGAAAATGACCTTGATTTCGTCGTGACTGCCAGAAGATTTTTGATACGTTTTAACTTGAAGCAATAACAGTATTGTCTTGAATACACTTGTTAGCAGTACTCGATTTGTGGGGGAATGCGGTGAAACGGAGTTCCAGTACCTCTCTATCGGGAAGATAAAAATATTAGCATTAAAAGGTACATATCAGGTACAAATCACAATAAATAGGTTACAGTTCCGCGCCTCATTTTTCACCAATCGAGCGCTGCTTGTTAGTATAAAATATTGACCAAACTTTAACAATTTAACACATTAAAACAACAGAAAAATTCTCAAGGAGCCTTACCATGTCTTTTTCAAGTTTTTTGCGTCTGAGGTATTTTGCGACAGGAGGTACAAAAAGATCAGGGTTCAATTCCCCAGGGGGTCTTCCACAGGCTGAGGCTAACCAGCTGACTACCAGTCCTACCACCATTGCAACACCAAAACTTATCACAATGTAGTACAAGTAGCTCACTCGGTACAGGTAGAAGTATTCCGTTGGCCTAAAACATTGAAAAATCATGGTAAGTGTGGATGTAAAAATAAATACTCAACTGATTTTATTCATTGGGGTATTAGAGTAGGTGGCATCACCAAATTGTCCTATGAGGTTTGACCCAATATTGGCAATTTGTTTCTTTTAATTTAGGTTATAAATTTGACTAGCCCCTGGACTCAAATTTCCCTCTCTTGAAACAAACTCTTAATCAACCGCATGGCCTTTGGTGATTAAAAGAGATAAAGATTAAACTTACTGGCTTGTGGGGGTGACTGTGGCAGCTAACACGGGAGATGCAGCGTAGATGGTGAGGTTAGTAGAACACCCAGCAGTGCTGAGAGGTAGTGTATGTAGAGGAGGCTTCGGACCTCCAAACCCTAAGAGTAGAGAAGAGACTAAACCTACCAGTAGACCTAGGACTGCACCCTGCAACATCAGAGACACAGTAGATTATGAGGTGAGTAGAACATAAATGAGTTTACAATTTTGGAATGCATCATGCACTGTCAGGGTCCATGTGTAATTTGCTCTAGTGTGAATCTAACTCCTAACGAGAAACTCAGCTGGTTTTGACATTGCAGTACATCGAAGCAATCTGAAGAGTCCCATTCCTCTATTCATACCGCTGCCATCATTCCTCTGAATTGTTTCTTTCAGAGGACCTCTGCTTGTGTCTCACATCCGAAATGAAGAACGGAGTGGACAATGGACATCAGCACCTGCCATTTGCTGCCAACCAGTCCACCAAAATTTCTCATCAACTTGTTCAAATTGGATTCAACCTTTCAAATTTCTTGTTGAAACTACAACGATAACTTCACATCAATAACATGTGTTTAGGTCAATTATACCTGGTTTGTGAAAGCATGAAAAGTCTTTGGGCATACTAAAGACCAACACTGCATAAGATTGCAAACATTGCTCTCAAGAACACTTACCGGTTCATTAGCACAAGGACAGAACATGCCGAGTGTGAAGATTGCCAGAAGTGGTCCTCCCACCATGCCAAAGATGGACAAGGATGCTTGCAGCACTCCGCCCAGCAGACGAGAGAGGAACGCGACTGCTATGCATATCACTCCGTAGGTGAGAGCCAACATCTTGGACAACTGAGCGCTATAGGCTGCTGGTACTTCTTGGCCTGACCACAACAAGTAGAGAGGCTGGAACATACCTGACATGAGACAGCAGCAGAAGTAGAATTGTTCCTTTTAGTGATGTGTCGAAACCCAACATTAAGATGAATTCAAAATTTGAGTTTTAGGAATCAATCCTCAAATCTGATATTTAACTCTTTACATGCAAGAGATTATCCCGTGAAATGAAATTGAAAACACTTCAAAACATTGTGATATTCCGTATTCTCACCTGAATATTATCCACACTTAACACACTTGTACTTTTTTTGTTAAAAGATAAATGCAATGTATTTAAAAAGTTAAAGAAGGTCGCATAAAAACCTGAATTGGACTGTTAAAAATTAAAAATAACCCACTCACCTTGATATAGTCCTCTAGAGTGACGGCTGCCAAAGAGTTGAGACATGCAGACACTGTGCTGAGAGCTGCAGAGAAGATACCAGCCACAAATAGACCAGACAGTCCCGTCACATCTCCCATAGTCTCCACAACAAACAGCGGCATCAGCTGATCCCTGCTACTGATGCGGCCTGAACTGCAAAAAAAGTTTGCATGCTTTACTGTTGTGCACTTTCCAAATAACAGTTTTTCTCGAAGGAGACCCTTCTCTGGTTTAATAATATAACTGATTTAAGAAGAAAGCTGAAAGATGTTTTTGAACTGTACATAATATGCATTATCTTCTTTTTTAATGCTTTTGCCAACTTACTGACTTAATGTTCGTGTAATTCAAAATTACTATTAACGATTATTGTCTAATTTCTTATGCTTAGGATAAAACCAGCAATCTTTTGATTATTCTTGATAATATGTTATAAATCCTTACAGAACAGAAGCTAAGCAAGATCGTCCACTTACAGTACAGGATCACAGTTGTAGTACTTTGAGTATATGGCCAGGCCAGAGAATGCAGTGCATCCGGACAACAGGATGAGTATTGGAGTAGAGATCCACAGGGACCTCACTGCCGTCTTGTAGTCCTTCATGGTCATGTATCTGAAGTGAGAAGCAAGCAAATATATAACGAGGTAAAAAATACATTAGTCAGTACAGTGGATTCTATTTTGTCAACTATCTTATCTTAATCCTGTTGACTCCTCCTGGAGCATAGGGCCTCGACTGTTCCTCTTCACCGGACCCTGTTGGTTGCTTCCCTCTTGATCCCTTCCCAGGTTTTTCCTTTATCCTTCAACTCTTCAACCAACGTCCTCTTCCAAGTGTTTCTGGGTCTTCCCACTCTCCTGCTTCCAGGGGGGTTCCACTCCAATGCCTCCTTTGCTACGTCTCCATTTCCATTCCGCAAGGTGTGCCCTACCCATTTCTATTTTCTTCTTTTTAGCTGTACTTCAATTGCCCCCCCCCCCCCATTTTGTCAACTAATTTGCAAATTTGTCAACAGGATTTCTGCTCTGCCAGATTTTTGGAGTAACCTCTAAATAGTCATTATAGAATATTATAGAACAGGTGAACAATTGATTCAAAGTTTTTTTTACTAACATTCTACTCCTTCTGCAGAAACACCCTTGTGGGGCTACATATAAAATAAATTGTGTTTTTGTATTTGTGTAATATCATTGACTATTGGAAACTGAAGTAAACATAGCATCTATATGGAGCTGTCGTCAATTTCTGATTGAACATAAATCTGTGAGCCAGTCAGAGAATCTAGCTAATGTTTAACATCCTATTTACATCTTATTTTTTGTTTCAGACCAAGTTGATCGGTCATAAAAGTTCTATAGCTCACATAATTCATTAGTTTGACTTGGTAAAAAAAAAGGTTTGTGTATTGGATAGAAAATAATAATTTAGATCAACACAATCTGTTGGTGGCTCATATCAACTACGACAATTTTGATAAAAAAGCTGGCAACAACTTTTAACATGGAGATGGGTTGTCTAGTTGTATCAATAGTCAAAGGTTATCAACTGACTGTTAATATTTTCTTGGATAAGTTAGTTGTGTATCCATTCTTTTGACTTTGGCCAGTCTTAATAGTCTCTTTAGCTTGATGCCAGAGAATGGAATATCAGATACAGATGCAAGATTAATGTGGTTTTGGAAGTTCCCAATATACATCAGGATGTATATTGGGATACATATCTATCAGCATTCTTGTAATCTCTGGTCAAATAATATGGCTAGGTCCCCTCTTGCATGAGCAAATGCAAAATTTATTTTTAAATCAACTTCAAAGTGATTTGTTTATATTTTAAAGTTCAACTCCTCTATAATTATATACAATGAAATAACTGATTGTTATTAACAAAAATACTTGCTACAAATATCCATCTAATGTCTTCTTTTCAGTACTTGACTCACCTCTGTACTTGCGTCTGATTGACAGCGTAGAGAGACAAGAAGGTGAAGCCTCCGCCAATCAGCAGAGAGAAGTACGTGAGCCTCACGGTAGGGTCTGGGTTGATGCTGAAACATCGGCTACGTTAGACTGGACTCTAGACTATCTTACAAAAACAATTATTTTATCTATGTAGTATCTTGGATTTGCCTGACCACATGGGACTTGTGTGCTGAACGTATCAAGGGGTGAGCTGCTAAGGTACAAGAATTAACTATGTATTTATGTAGGCGTTGAGATGTAAGCCCATGACTTTGCTATCTTGGATTAGTAGTCATTACACTACAGACTGAGCCACCAACTCACCAGTCTAAGGTATTGAGTTCAATTAGCTCACCTGTGGAAATCCACAAGTTCACAGGCGTATATGTATACCACAACACCAATATTTCATCTTCAGACTTCTTCGGAGGTTGGTAAGATATTGAACACCCTGGATGTACCCTGATCATTTCAATAACTTTCCTGATTATTTGAGCAACAAACGAATTTCAGAGTGAAGGTTTTTAAAATTTACAGTTCATCCAGTTACCTCTGCTTGATTTTAACTATTATAAATATAATCATTGTCGTATGGGAAAACTCCGGATTGCAAAGAATAACTAATGATAGGGGTTTCTGATCCTGGCAATCCAATTGTTGTATTCCACAACTAGTTTCAACCTAGGAGGTCATCATCAGGTGCGTACAAGGATGATGACTTCGTATGAAGGTCATCAGGATTAAAAATTTTTTACACACATACACAAACAAAAAATGAAAAATTAAAACGAAGAGCGGACCGGTGTTGGTAATGCGGAAGTTGAGTCTAGACTGTAGGAATTTAGGATACATTGTCTCTGCCCTCCCCTCCCCTCACCAGTATTTCTATTGCGGTGTTGTAGGTAATGTTTGAATTAAAATAAAGTTGGTCGTTAAAAACATTATCCTTATCTGATTTTAGATTTGAAGGCTCTATATATCTCGAATTCTTCCAGGGTGTTAATTTTAAATTATCTCGTAACCTATGTACAATTTCCAAGTTTTCATTAACGCTGCTGTAATTATTATGCTGATATGAAACAAGATTACCTCTTAGCAGGTCGAAACTAGTTGGCCAGAATCAGGTATTTAAACCATATTATTTCTTACTTACTTACTCCTGTGGCCATTGGAAACCTAGGTGGTTTTTGGCCTCGCCAACCATGTGCCTCCAATCTCTTCTATCCTCTGCCAGCTCCAAGTCTGCTCCCATTCCTCTCAAGTCCTTCGTCACCTCATCAACCCATCGCATTCTTAGTCTACCTAATGGTCTCCTTCCTTCTGGTATACCTCTGAGTACCATCTTTACCATCTCTCTCTCACTTCTACGGTTAATATGGCCCATCCATCTCAACCTCCTACTCTTAACTATTCCCACAATATCTGGTTCACCATATAATTCTTTTAACTCTCTATTTTTCCTTATCCTCCATGCATTTCCTTCTTTTACTGGTCCAAAAATTCTTCTCAAAATTTTGTTTTCAAAAGTAATAAGTCGCTTCTGGGATTTTTTGGTAAAAGACCAAGTTTCTGACCCGTATAGCAATACAGGTTGCACTATAGTTTTATACATTCTTATTTTAGTGGTTTTTGATAGCAGTTTGCTTTTGAATAATTTTATTAAACTCCAGTATGATCTTTCTGCTGCTGTGAGTCTGCTCTGAATTTCTATTTCTTCTCTATACCATATTATTATGTTATTATAATCAGCTGATATAAACTAATCTAATAAGCAACAAACATTTCTCATAAAAAACAAAAACTTAAAAGAACAAAAAAAATTTGGGCGCTGATGCTTACTTGAAAAACTGTATTCGGTCTCCCTTCTCAGCAATCTCCCATATCTGACTGAGACCTCCTTTCTGCTTTGCTGCTGTGAAGATTATGCTGATCACTGCTGCGAACATTAGCAGCGACTGAAACATTATCACATCAATAATCATCAGTTCAGTTTCACAAGTATGGCAATGCTGAAAACACATACAGTAGAACTTCTTTAATCCGAACTAATTGGGACTGGGGGTTGTTCGGAGTAGTGAATAGTTTGGATTACAGAACATATTGTTGTTCTTGCATAACAATAGCTAAAATGGATCGTAATTGTTTCGGGAAAAGTGAAAAATGCTTTATAAAGTAAAATACAGTGTTTATTTAATACAGTAGTAAACATAGTGAATAAACAGTACTGTACATTAAAAGAAACAATTACGTTGTGTATATAAAAAAATACAGTATACAATAAAGAACTACTGTACTGTGTATAAAGTACAGCAATGAGGCGTTCGGCTTAGTGGACGTTCGGACTACGGGGGTGCGGATTAAAGAGGTTCTACTGTATATAATAGTTATTTGTGCAACTAGTGAGCAAAGGGAGCAATTGACTCACTCGAGAGAAATACTTACTCACGAGCCGTAGGCGAATGAGGAATAATTTCTCGAGTGAGGCAATTGCACTTTGCACTCGAGTTGCACATTATATTTTTCCTACAGTTACCATAAAACAAATAAATTGGTAAAGAAATATTTTGTACACAGAAGTGAACTTTTAATATTACATTTAATGATACAACAGTACAACCAGCTGACCAGCTGATTTACAACCAGTGCTGCCAACGTATTTCGCGCGCATGAGACCTCGTCTGCATGTTACGTGCTCACTATTTCGTGCCTTCACGTTGCAAATCTGGAGTGAGTGAGACAAAGTAATTTAGAGTGAGACAATGTTAACATTGTCTCGCTGATGAGCGAATTGGCCACTTTGCTTTCTCAAATTAGTGAGAGAACATGTACATTGTTAGGTAACTGTAGGAAAAAAATATTTTCCTATTGTAAGCCAGCTGGCAAACACAAATTTCATTTTTTGCAGATTTCATTGTCAAGTGATTTATGTCAGATTGACTGTTCATCGCTCGTACAGAAAGTAGTAGCTACATTTGATGACAGCGGATATCCTACTAATATTATAAATGAGAAAGTTTAGATGTATGGATGTATGGATGTATGTTTGTGACAAGTGAACGCGAAAAATACTGGTCGGATTGGGCTGAAATTTGGCATGATGATAGCTCACATTCCCGATTAACATATAGGCATATTCTTATTTCAAAAATCCTTTCGGGCTCCGCCCCAGTGGCTCTGGAGTTTCCCATGTTAACCTTATGAGAAATGAAATTATTGAATCTTAACAGCTGTTTCAATTAAACAAGTTGGTTCTGTTCTGTGATGTTCAATAGCATTAAAGTTACAAAAATTACTAACAGGGTGCAGCACTATTATTTCTTTTACATTTATGACAACAGCTAATTTGCAACCAAAAGGTGAGTGAGCGTAGCGAACGAACTTCAACCTGGAGGCGAGTTAGCGTAGCGAACGAGCTAACCTGAAGGCAAGTGAGCGCAGCGAACGAGCTCAAACTAAAGGTGAGTGAGCGTAGCGAACAAGCTCCAACCTAAAGGTGAGTGAGCGTAGCGAACGAGCTCCAACCTAAAGGTGAGTGAGCGTAGCGAACAAACTTCAACCAGGACGTGATTGAGCCATGCGAACGAGATAATCTTGAAAATTAAGAAGTTAAACGGGGCAAAGCCCGCGGGTTACAGCTAGTAAACTATATAATTAATTCTCACACTCTAATTTAGAACCAGGGAAAACTATAAGCCAATTTTCTCTAGCTCCAAATTTTCTTTCAGTTTTCAATAGCTCTCAATCAGTTCTCCATTTGTCCACTCAGCAAGCTAGTGTTGACATTATTATATTTCTATTACTTAAATCAGCTGTTTTTATTATTTAGCAGTCTAAAAGTAAAAATGTTATTCTGTATGTGGGTATTTTTAAGTCAAATGTTTTTTAACAAATCTAAAACCGTACCTGAAATACATCTGTCCATATGACAGCCTTCATTCCTCCCAGTGTGCAGTAGAACATACACACAGCTCCCACCAGTACGATGGAGATGTTCTGATTGAGTCCAGTGAGCGCTTCTAATGCAATGGCTGGAGCATACACCACAATACCCATGTACAGTACCATCTGTAGTGAGTACATGAGCGAGGCACAGGTACGAGCCTTGCTGCCAAACCTCAGGTACAAGTACTGCAAAACAGCAATCAAACTCATTTTTACTATTGATTGCACTACCTGTAGCGAACTAGATATATTTTGTTGATTTAATTTTGTGTGGTTTACTACACTATTAGCATTTTTTACAATTTTGCAATGGAAATGTCAAGAATCTGGTCTAGGTTTCCATCCAACGTTGAACTTTTCTTAGCATCATTTGATGGCCCAATGACAATTGGCTTCTATGTCTGGTAACAATTGCTTAGTATCAAACCATCAAGTACTGAAACCACTCCACTCGACTACCGAAACAATTAAAATGATCACGATAAAGGACCATATCTAATATTTCTGGATTTGGTAAATAAAATAAAACACAAACCAAACAAAAACAAGTCATACCTCATAAGCGGAGGTGGCTTGCAGCTTATAGAAGACTGGGAGGTAGAGGTAGGCGGCTACTGGAGTCCACAGGAGGTAGGCAAAGTTGATGATAAAGAAGAGAGTGCTGTACATGTAGATTTCTGCTGACACTCCTAACAGGGAGATGGAAGACATGAAACTAGCCATCAAAGAGAAGGCCACTGGTAACATACCTTGGTCCTGGCCTCCTAACAGATACTCCTGGACAAGTACAAGAAACATGTGTAAAATTAAGTTAATGGATGAAGAAATGAGTTCAGTACATTTAAATCTCTGCTGATACTCCCAGTAAGGAAATTGAGGACATGAAACTGGCCATCAGAGAGAAGGCCACTTGTAACATACCTTGGTCCTCGCCTCCTAACAGATACTCCTGGACAAGTACAAGAAACATGTGTAAAATATGTTAAGTTAATGGATGAAGAAAAGAGTTCTGTACATTTAAATCTCTGCTGATACTCCCAGTAAGGAAATTGAGGACATGAAACTGGCCATCAGAGAGAAGGCCACTTGTAACATACCTTGGTCCTGGCCTCCTAACAGATACTCCTGGACAAGTACAAAAAACATGTGTAAAATACATAAAGTTAATGGACGAAGAAAAGAGTTCTGTACATTTAAATCTCTGCTGATACTCCAAGGGAGATGTCAGTATCTTCGAAAACTCAAAGAACTTAGTAAAGCATGCAACTTTAAACTATTGAACCACTGCTAATAAAAATCGTAATGATTTTCTCCAGATTCCTGTATTCTTGTTGCCAGCTGATTACGTGAATATACCTCATTAGTAGGCTTTATAAAAAGTTTGTCAAGAAAAGATATAGCCTCGGTATAAGAATCAGCCTCTGAGATTATTTCATATATGTTGTAGTCCACAAAATTAGTTAGAAGTTTTAGTTGGTCATCTTCTGCAGCACATATTTCTTCCATGAAATTCTTGAAAGTGGTTTTCCAATGTTTCCACTGACAATCAGAATGGACATAATAAATAATCTTGGGATAATCTTGGGTCATTAGTGTCCAAAGATAGGCACTCCGGCTTGAAGAATTTATCCATTTAGAATTCATGGAATAAACTTGAATAGAAAAGATAGAATAGAACTTGTATAGAAGAACTTGTAATAATATAATTAAAAGATTAAGTTGAATAAATTGTTATGAAAAGAAATGTTTAGAAACCAAATTTATATGGTTTTATTCAACTTAAATCAGCTACATTTGAAATGAGAGAATTAATACAAAACTGTAAACATTACATACAAACAAAAATAGTCTTAAATAAAACAGCTGAAGAAATATTTGACAGTACAATAGAAATCATATTACATAACACTGTGCTGTAAGTAATGCCACACGTCGGCTCTGGACCCATGAGCGGGCTTTCAGCTCCTTTGTTTGCCCACTTGTCAGCTCCCTCATTGCCAGCAAAACCCCTTTGTGCCCTGGAACCCAACTAAGGATGATCCTGTTGCTCATTCCCAGGGCTTTCATGGCCTGATGACAGTCCCATACAGCCTTGGAGGTAAAGTCAAAACTGTCAAGTGCCAATAGTGCTGCTTTGCTGTACGAGTTCATGTATAGGCCTACAGTGTGGCCTGTAAGACCACGCTTCAAACACACTCTTGCACACTCAGACAGGGCAACAACTTCTGCCTGGAATACTGTAGCCATTCTTCCGAGGCTTACGCAAAACTGAGACTTGGGCCTGACTCTATATATTCCAGCCCCCGTGCCCGTTGGCTTTTTTGAGCCATTCGTATACCAAGTGATCCCCCTTTTCATGTATTCAGGTTCACTCTTGTCCCAGGCATACCTGTCAACTTCGTTTTTCTAGATCTGTGATCTTCACCATCCTGTCTGGTAGCATTTCCAAGGTGTTCATCTACACCTTGTCCACAATTCTTTTGTGCTCACTGGAGGCATTATACTTCCAGTTGCCACTGCAAGCCATTCTGTAGGCTGCCATCCTTGCCTCTCCTTTCATAATAATGCCGAGAGGTGGCAGGCTTAGCAATACTTCCAGGACTGCAGTTGGAGTGCCTCTCATGGCTCCTGTAGTGCTAAGGCATGCCACTCGCTGGATCTTTTCTAGTCTCTTTACAGCGGTAGTTTGCATTACCTTGGTCCACCAGACCACCGAGCCATACACCATCGACATCGGTCTTGCAACCCTAGTGTATAGCCAGTTAGTCATTTGTGGGCTTAGACCCCAGGTCTTCCCAACAGCTTGTCTCAGCATCATAAGTGTGGTCTGAGAGCGCTGCGTTATATGTGCCAAATGGCTGTTCCAGGTGAGCTTGTCGTCCAGCCTTATTCCTAGGTACTTGAACTCCCTCTTAACCTGGATCTGATTACCAAAGAAAGTTTGTACTCTAGCGATATCAACATTTCTCTTCCTTGTAAATGGTACCTTTATGGTCTTCTTGCATTGAGCTCGCACAGGAGATTGTCGACCACCAGGTTCCACAGATTAGGTGAGAAGACGCCACCCTGTGGACACCCTCTTTGTGCATGACCTCTCTCACCAACTTATTCTTGGTGGAATTAACATCATATTATCTTTAGACTTAGGACAAAACTTAGCTGAGAACATCATTAACGACTAGGTACCTGCATAGAGGGATGAAAATTCCAAAAGTTTTATATCATTAGCAAACTAAAGAAAAAGGATTTTGACAATGAATATGGAGATCTCTTTATGTCATGAATGAATATGCAGATCAGAAAATATCTGATCCCTACTTATACGCCATTCAAGATTTTTTTCATCATAGGCTGATCAAGAAGTACTCTTAACATGGGTCTGCTTTTCTTTGGATAATTTGTAGAAAATAATGACTAGAATATAGGGGCTATTGCCCCTACAAGCCACTGGTTGGAATATAGTTTATAAAAAACTATCAATAAAATAAATCCGTGGTACAAGAATCAGATTTTTTAATGTAATAAAAAGCCTTTTATTAACAAAGATTTTGCATGACATTTTTTAAATCTGATACTGAGGACTTGACTTTGTTTTGTCCAATAAGTGTATTATTCTTTACCTTGTTTGTTTTTTGCCGGCCACCCGTCAGTCTAAAATAGATCCCAATAGAGGCAGACACGGACAGAGTAATGGCCAAGACAACATAATCTGCCCAACCCAGTGTCTTAGGCTCCATAATACCTGCAAAAAGCCATCTATATATATATAATACACTGGCAGATTTTTGTGAACAGAACTCCTCCCACATTTTTAGTCCGATTTAGACAATCAAGTAGCAAAAAAATTGCCCTGATTTGTACTTTTGCAAAGTGGTTTTCATTTTTTGAAATCTTTATTAGTTTGGGCAGGATCCTCGTCAAATTTGGGTTTTCTCCCATAAGGTTAATATGGAGGAATCTATTTATTTAATTGGAAACTTTGTCTCGGCTAATTTGAGAGAACGGTTGAGTGTAGAAGCTTGGTAGAGGTGTCTAAATAAAGGTCTTGGTCTTTAAATGAGCCATCAAATGAAAAACAACGTAAATCCCCTTTGGGGCTCTGACCCAGTGACCTTTAAAGTTCCCTCCCCAGGTTTGTTAAAATTATGGCCATATGGATAATTTTTCAATACTTTTTAATGAAACAGCTACAAATATTTAAATTGTATTTTAAACAACACAAATAATTAGTCCAGGATCTGAAGGGGCTTGAGTATGCATGGAAAGGCTGACACAATTTTATTTCTGATTGTTGTTATAGGCACTATAGTGATCACGAAAACGCATGTTGTCGCCCCCCAGCGTGGTTGACATCCCATGGGGGAGGAGGGCAATATGGCGGGGGGCACTGTTTACTAAAACGCCTATAACTCGAGAACTATTCTAGGTAGAACATTGCATTGAACGTCAATTTACTCATAAAGCTATGATCTTTAAAAATGTTGAAGTTCGTATCTTTGTTGGTTTTTTTTAGTTATTTTATATTGAATCTAAAAATCAATATGGGGTTATGGGGTAAAAATAGGGTTTTTCCCATTTTTGACTCTTAAAACATAAAATTTTATAACTTCTTTCCAGACCATTTCGTAGAGCTTAAAAAAAAAAGTTGTATACTGAAGTGTTGTTGTATACCTAACGATTGCGGAGATAATTAAAAAAAAACGTTAAATTCAAAATGCCCATGTTATTCTTACGGAGAATTATTAAGCTGTTGTAGTTTACTTATTTATAGATGCATTTTAATCAAATTTGGCAATTTTGTTTATTTCATACTAAGCTATCAACATTTCAATAAAAACTCACCTCAATACCTTCCTTGTAGCAGCAAACCTAGGTACTCATTAAAATTAATTGAAGGCCCCACTCTTCGACCATTTTTTTTAAACTATGCATTGAGGGATTTTCATTGGCACAGAAGTGAGTGAAAATTTAAAAACGTACGTTTTTATGTCCCTGGCCTTTTACTTCGTAGATACTGGATTTGTAGTTTATTATTATGTGTTTTAATATTTTTTGGGACGGGGGCAACATGTTACACACATTTATTTGGTTTTAAATAGGTTCTAGGTATTTTTTTCGTATTTTTAAAGTCTCGAAATTCACGACCATGACGTGTCCCTAGGGTACATTTTCCAACTTTCACGCTGTTTTTAGACTAATTATTCATGTCGAAATATATAAAGCCATATTTTTATGTCATCAATGGTTATTAAACTTACAAAAAAGGAGCATATTATAATTTTATTGTCATTGCAGACTGACTACCATGACAAAATAAGTCTGTCCCTCGATTTGGCGTCACGACCATTTGGGAAAAATTTTCAACTTTGGAGCACGACAGTGGCAAGCCTGGCGTCGATGGAGTCAGTTGGTTTTAGAGACTAGTTCGGGGTGTACGTCAGGATTGTAGTGCCGGTCGTTTTGAGTTGAAAGGAGGAATTACAAGATTAATAAAGGAAAGATTGTGTTTTTTGTAATTTTGGTGTGTCCATGACCGTACGTAGCCATTCGATGAAGTAGACATGGTGTTAATTTTTGTTTATAAGATATTTCAATTGCTAGATTAACCTAGAAGTCCACTTTGTATCCTCGAACATGAGGTGCAGGGCTACCGCCAGAACAGAGCCAAATAACACGTAATTTCACGACCAAAGTTTCACGACCATCGCGGTTTTTTTCACGACCAATCCAGCCTTATGGATTATAGTGTGTTTGGTCGTGACAATAACTTTAGTATAATTGTAAATTGAACAGTTTAGTTCAATTGAAACACATAGTTTTTTTATTTAACTAACAGTATAATTGAAGGATTGTTTGGAAAGATTTAGATTATTCCAGACAATTCACGACCGTACCGCTTGTCCCTGACCATCACGTCTATGATTTCTATCATAAAAATTTCAAAAATTAAAATATCGTCATATTTAAATGTTTTATACACAAAAGAAGCACACCTCTATACAAACATAACGATTTTTCGGGTCTCAGGTAAGTTTTTTCGGAGTAATACAAACTTAAAAAGATTTTATTGGCTTTTTTCTATTTTTTGAGTTTGTTTTATTTTTTTCTAGAAAGACCAAATATACCAAAAGCTCAGTGACCTTTTTATTGTATAATGGTCATAAAAGTAAACTAGTTTATAGCAAAACATAGTTATAAAAATAATATTAACTATTTTAAATATTCATTTAAACGTCCGTTATGGTCGTGACAGGATTTTGTGTTTTTCTACTAAAGATGCTCTTTAAAAAGAAAACTACCAAAAATATTGCGTTACCATGGACATTTTATGAAACTTCAAATGTTAATGAAATAAAAATAATAATAAAAGTTTTGAAAAAAAGGGGGAAAAAATTTGCAAAGTGCTTTTCCTGAAAACGTACGTTTTTAAATTTTCACTCAAGTACGCTATGATGACTGAAGTGATGAAGGAAACTCCCTTTGAAGTTCTTACTACATTTTACGTTCTTACGCACCGCCTCAAAACACAGATATTTTTCCTCAAAAGAAAAGCGTAGATTTAATTTGTATTACAATGATGAAATTGCGGAAGTATTTACCACAAAAAATCCACCAATACGATTTTAATAATATTTAAAGGTTCATCCAAAAGAAGAGAAACCAGTTAAAGTAGTAATAATAAATCCAATAGAAAAAAAGGTAAGGGAAATATTATTTATTCATTGAATGATCAACCATATTTTGTAACTATTTCCCCAACTTCAGAGTTGATTATGTTCCAGACATTTTTTTGAATGTTCTGGGAATTTCCAATTTTTTTTCGAAATATCTGTGTTTAGCCTTATTTAATTCTCTTTTATAAGTAATATTTTCCTGGTGTAAACAATCTTTTAAACAAATACTTTTTTTACTACAATATTCCTTAGTCAGTTGAATAATATGCTGTTGTTTCATCTTCTTTAGTTATCCATGTACGTTTTTTATTTCTCTTTGTAACAAATTTTTTTGGAAAAGCCTGATCAAAATAGATAGAAAAAATTTAAAAAAAGACATCATACTTTGTTTCCACGCTGGAATTATAGACATCGAACCAAGATTCATTGGAAAGCAATTGTGTAAAAAGATTAGTGTCTTCTAGAGAAAATTTACGTAACTCTTTTTTAATTGGCAAATTTACAGTTTTCATAGAATTTTGGCATTTTACTTTTAATAGCTGTCCATCATGGTCAGATAAGAAAGTAACCAGACCTTCAACCATTTAAGTTAGATAATTTAATATTTTTATCAAAAAGTTATCTATTGCTGTCTTCGAACTCGACAAGGTACCTCATACTTTTTCTTTCTAACATCTGTTGTAACAATCTATGTCTGCTATCCGATACTAAAACACTAATATTGAGGTCACCTGCTACAATTATCTTATCTTACTAATATTATAAATGTTAAAGTTTGTGTGTTTGTTTGTTTGAAGTTCACGCATAAACTACTGGACGGATTGGGCTGAAATTTGGCATGATGATAGCTCACATTCCCGATTAACATATAGGCATATTCTTATCTCAAAAATCCTTTCGGGCTCCGCCACAGTGGCTCTGTAGTTTCCCATGTTAACCTTATGAGTATTCATACTCAAAGGGAATTAAAAAATTTAGTCAGCTGTTTCAACTAAAAAAGTTGGTTCTATGATATGCAAAAGCATTAAAGGTTAAAAGATTTACCAACAGGGTGCAGCACTATAGTTTTTTTTGTTGCATTTATGAAAACAGCTAATTTTAACTAGGTAAGCAGCAACAAAAAAACTGTGATATGCAATAAGAACTGTCAAAGTAGGATTGTTTACAATTATGTTTATATTTTTAATTTTATGAATGCTTTTTGATATTTTGTGAATTTTTAATAATTTATTTTTCTCTATTGTTTAGGTGAAGTAGTGGAACATGGCTATGGTAGATGTTTAATACTATAGTGAACCGTAAATTTAAAGAAGCAAATTTTATTAAAATGAGTCCATTCTAATTGCAAACACAAAGCTTTAGTTGAGTATAACTGCAATAAGCATTTTATATTTATATGCTAACCCCGTACGAAGGACGGGTACTCTGCTAGTTGTATCATATTTTTTATTAAAATACAATAATTAATTAATAGCTATTTACCTTACAAGTGTAGTAAGAGCGTTTTTACATCACGCAGGTGAATGTTGTGCAACTAGCGGAAGCAAGACCCGTACCTTAATTACCGTACCTTTGGATAGGAAAAATAAGGAAAGATTGAAAGTCACAAAATTATATCTAAGACTAGCTGTACCCGCGGGCTTTGCCCCGTTTAACTTCACAAGTGAGCTCGTTCGCATGGCTCAGTCACGTCCTGGTTGAAGTTCGTTCGCTACGCTCACTCACCTTTAGGTTGGAGCTTGTTCGCTCCGCTCACTTGCCTTCAGGTTAGCTCGTTAGCTACGCTAACTCGCTTCCACGTTGAAGTTCGTTTGCTACGCTCACTAACCTTTTGGTTGCAAATTGGCTGTAGTCATAAATTTAAAAAATAATAATAGTGCTGCACCCTGTTGGTAATCCTTTTAACTTTAATGCTATTGAACATCATAGAACAGAACCAACTTGTTTAATTGAAACAGCTGTTAAGATTCATTAATTCCTTTTAAATATGAAAAATCATAAGGTTAACATGGGAAACTCCAGAGCCACTGGGGCGGAGCCCGAAAGCCCGATCAGAATAAAAACTACT